AGGAGCAGGAAGGCTGACGTTTCGGGCCTAGACCCTTCTTCAGAAAAGGCCGAAACGTCAGCCTTCCTGCTCCTCTGATGCTGCTTGGCCTGCTGTGTTCATCCAGCTCTACACCTTGTTATCTTTGATCAGAAAACTGATGGGATCAAAATCGTTTCAGTTTGTTCAGATCGTCACTAAAACTGCATAACATCAGGGGTGCAACTGCCTATCTGTTGTTGGATCAGTGGCCGTTTTTAATGCATTGGGAACACAGTTTATTTTTGATTAAAATCTGTTAAATCTTATTGTTAATGTCTGTTGGGGTTTCCCAGTTGCCATCAGAGCACCCAAGAGGTCAAGTGCAGCATCTGGTCTCCACTCGTTCTGCCTGTGTTTACAAAGCACTGAGAGCCACAGACCCCTGTTTTGCATCTCTCAGTTCGACAAGTCATTAAATCATCATCAATTTATATCACAGTAACATCACGCGCCTACAGGTAACAGCACAGCATTATAGTAATGGCTGCTTCCAATGTCAAACCAACAACTTGACTTGGTGAAGAAATTTAAACTCATTCCTCTTTTTCTTTAATATGATCATGGGATGAGGGCAGCACTGGCTAGGCCAGCATTTATTGCCAGTCCCTAATTACCCAGAGGCCAGTTAAAAGTCAACCACATTGCTCTAGATTTGGAGTCACATGTAGGCCAGACCAGGTAAAGAGGGCAGATTTCTCTCCCTAATGGATATGAGTGAACCAGATGGGTTTTTACCACAATTGACAGTGGTTATATGATCACCACTAGACCAGCTCTTTAATTCCAGACTTTTACTGGATCCAAATTTCACCATCTGCGCTGGTGGTTTTGAAGTCATGTCCCCAGACATCAGCCTGGGACTCTAGATTATGAGTTCAGCGATAATGCAGTAATCCTCTCCGGAAGCTGTAATCCTCTCCGGAAGCTGTAATCAGGTGAAGAAAGTACACCAGGCAAAGTGGAAAGGTGCAGCAGGAAGATCAGAAAATTATCAAGCAGGTATTCAATAAACTTGTTGCTGGACAGCAAGGCAGCATGGTGGCTCAGTGGTTAGCACTGCTGGCTCACAGTGCAAAGTCTCTGAGTTCGATTCCACCCTCGGGTGACTGACTGTGTGCAGTTTGCACATTCTCCCTGTGTCTGTGTGGGTTTTCCCTGGGTGCTCTGGTTTCCTCCCACAGTCCAAAGATGTACAGGTTAGGTGGACTGACCATACTAAATTGCCTGTAGTGTTCAAGAATTTGTAGGTGAGGTGGGTCACCCATGTGGGGGTCTGGTACGGGGCTAGGTCAGGGTGGAATGCTGTTTAGAGGATTGGTGTGAGCTGAATGGCCATCTTCTGCACAGAGGAAACAAAAAGCATCAAATGTTGCCCCTTTTTTCAAATACCATTAGAAAACAATAATATAAATGAAGTCTCCATCAGTTACTTACCATCGGTGTGAAACTTGTCAGTCAGAGATTTATTTACCAATCAGAGATTTATTTATCTTCATTACATGGCTTTCAGTTCTTAAAGCTTATTTTCAGTGTCTGATCCCAGTGTGCAATCTCTGTGTCTCTGATAGGATTATTACGATAAAGGAGATTATATCATTCGTGAAGGAGAACAAGGCAACACCTTCTTCATCATTGCGAAAGGAAAGGTAGGGAGCTTGTTTATAGTTACCAGTCAAGTTTCAGAATGTCGTACACTGATGTTGCCTCAAGCACTTCCTAGTAATCCTAAACAGGTCTGACAGGTTTATGAAGATTGCTGTCTTGATTAAAGTGCTCTCTGTGCTTGGAAGTTGAAATCACACTTTACAATATTGGTCCAGACCCAAAACATCAGCTTTCCTGCTCCTCTGATGCTGCTTGGCCTGCTGTGTTCCTCCAGCTCTACACCTTGTTATTGCTATTTACAATATTAGTGTCAGTGTGATCCTATGGGTGACATTCTTGTTTAACCCTGAAGGTCATGAGTTCTAAGCTCACAGTGGTGTAGGATTGAGGGGGATTTCTGTATCCCTGAAGACTGTTGCTTTACAACCAGGGCAGTTCACTCCAGTGTCCTGACCCAATATCCATCCCTCAGCTAACATCACAAGATGAGACCTTTATTCATTAATTTAGAAGAATGAGAGGCAATCTTAGTGAAATATACAGATTTCCGAGGGGCTTGAAGGGCAGATGTTGAGAAGATATTTCTGATAGTAGGAGAATCTTGAACTAGGGACATATTTGCAGAGAAAGGGGACACTCATTCAAAACTGAGATGTAAAGAAATTTCTTCTCCCAGAGGGTAGTGAATGTCTGGAATTCTGTACCCCAGAGAGTTGTGGAGGCTACATCACTGAAGGTATTTAAAGAGGAGGTAGATAGATTTTCAAAATTTTGAGGAATCAAGTGCCATAATGAACCTGTGCAAAAGTGGATTTGAGGCCTACAGCAGATCATCCATGATCTTGTTTAATGGTGGGCTAGGCTCAAGGGGCTGAATGGCCTATTCTGCTCCAGTTTTTTTTAGATCCATACAATCTTACCTCGGTAATTTGCAGTTTCCCATTCTCCCACCCACCGGATAGAGACTAGATTCCGAAAATGTCTGACCTGGAGGTCAGAGCAAAACTTTGCTATGTTAATTCGACACCTACAGTGTGTACCAGCTGTGCAGGCACCAGCACGTGTGACAACAGAGTGGCTGTGTCTCAATGTCTAAGGGAGATGGTCCTCAGCCAAGTCAGGAAGACAGCCATCAGTCACAGGGTCAAGAAATCAGGGGCATGGGCACGGTTAGTCCAGGGAGCTGTGGGAAAACAGTCGGTAACTGCATAGATATTGGTCAGTGGTCAGGGGTCTGGCCACTCATTGTTTGCCCTTCTAAGTTGCTGAAGGAGTTGGGCCATGGTGACTCCTCGTGGTTGGTCCACTTACTCCATACAAGACTTGGTAAACACTCCTCCTTGACACTAAGCCTCCTAAACAAACAGGTTGACGTTATTATTCATTTTACTGCCTTTATTTTAATCAATCTCTCTGTGCATAATCAGCTGTGACATTTGTAAATGTAACAATGACCAGAAATCCTTTGGATGTGAAGTGTCACACTGTATTAGGAATGTGATAAATTGTTCTAAAGATGCAATTGTTTTTAATGTGTGACATTGTCCCCATCTCTGTTTTAACAATTAAAGCATTGACATAGTTTGTTGATCCGGTACAGGTCCGTGTGACACAGACAAGGGAAAGAGATGAAGACCCACAAGAAATCAAGACGTTAGGAGCTGGAGAATACTTTGGAGAGAAAGCATTAATTAGGTACAGGATTGTGAAGCACACAAAACGATAGCGGCTAAACAAGAAGGAGGCAGATTGCAAGTTTCGCATTTAATCAGTGAAAGGCCTTTTCGTTTCTTAAATTAATTTATTCATGGAACTAAGGCATCGCTGGCTGGGCCTTTGAGAAGGTGTTGGTTAGCTGCCTTCTTGAAATGCTGCAGAGTGTAGGGACTCTCCCAATGCTGTTAGAGAGGGAATACCAGGATTTTGATTCAGCAAATAAAGCATTCTGGAATGTATGTTAACCATTCAGCTTCTTATTCATTGTATGCATTGTGGGAATCAAACAAAACCCTTCCCAGAGAGAAAATGCAGTAAAAAGATTAACAGTAATACTTGAAAATTAATGTACTGGTCATTTATTTTGAAGTATACAAGACCCATTGGACCAGAATGTCTCTGTTGTAGAATAAATGAGGGGTTGCGACTTGAATTTGTATTCTTGCGAAATGCAACATGAATATCTTCAAGTAAAAATGTATTTTTTCAGCAACACATGATTAATTGCAGATGTTAATGTGACGAGTTCTTTTTAACAAACAAGAAATGAAACATATTGAATTAAGGGCGACGCAGTGGCTCAGTGGTTATCACTGTTGCCTCACAGCACCAGGGACCCGGGTTCGATTCCACCCTTGGGGACTGTGTGGAGTTTGCACATTCTTCTCCCTGTGCATGTATGGGTTTCTGCCAGGTGCTCCAGTTTCCTCCCACTGTGCAAGTTAGGTGGATTGGCTGTGCGAAATTGTCCATAGTGTTCAGGGATGTGCAGGCTGGGTGGGCTAGCCATGGGAAATGCAAGGTTACAGGGATAGGGCAGGGGGATGAGTCTGGGTAGGATGCTCTTCAGAGGGTCAGTGTGGATTTATTGGGCTGAATGGCCTGTTTACACACTGTAGGGATTCCATGAGTCTAAGTGGTGCAGAATTACAAATTATCTGAGACTGTACCAGAAAGAAGTCAAGACTGCCAGAGCTTCATTTCTGTTCAAAGTGGATGTGTGCAAGGTAGGGATTGGCAAACGGATCAATTTTTTTTTATTCAGTCATGGGATGTGGGTATTCCTGGCTGGCCCAGCGTTTATTGCCCATCCCTAGTTGCCCTTGATAAGTTGGTGGTGAGTTGCTTTCTTGAACTGCTGTAGTCCATTGACCCACAATGCCCTTAGGGAGGGAATACCAGGATTTTGACCCAGCAACAGTGAAGGAACGGCAATATATTTCCACTCTGATTACTTTATTCAGTTTAGGTATTGACTATATATTGCTAACTGCCATGTAGCATATGTATAAAATAATGTTCATTAAAAATCAACAATGTGTAAAGTGTATTGAGTTTAATTTGTAAGAGAATATTTTATCTCTGAAAGAGAGGACACAGCGTTTGAACAGTCAGATTAAAGATTGATTTTGCCTTGATCTGACTTTGTTTCAGAATTTACCACGTTTCTTTCTTCACACAGTGAGGAACTTCGTTCTGCAAATATCATCGCAGATGAAGATGATACCCAGTGCTTGGTCATAGATCGCGAGTAAGTTTCTCGTCAAAGATGAACTTTCCACTAATGTGGGCTATTGGGCTTGGAGGAACTCAGATGCTATATCGTTTTACCTTCTGTAGAATGATATAGACCATTCAGCCCATTGTCCCTGTGTTATGTCTCTCTGAATTTCTTTCCTAAAGTTACTGTTGAATGTCCTTCCATCACCCCTTCAGGCAATGCCTTTCAAATCACAACAATTCACTGGGTACAAACATTTCCCTTCATCAACCTCTGGTTCATTTACTAATTACCTGAAAGCTGTAATTTCTGGGCACTGACCTCCTGCTAGTGAACATGGTTTCTCCCTCTCAATAAACATCCCTCGTCATTCGAACATCTCGATTAAGTCTCCCCTTAACCTTCTTTGCCCAAGTTTCATTTCAAGATGCTTATTCTCATATGAACTGTGTAGTGATTAAATAGGAAAGTGTGAATCATTCAAAATCTACATTGATAAATAGCCCAGTAGTGGAATGAATGGAGAGTTGTTGATACCAGATAAACAAATTGGGTGTGGTCTTGACTGATCTGGGAATCTAGTTTAGAGATCCACTGTCCATAGCACAACACAGAATCATCTTCAGCTAACTTTCCATTTACCGCAACAAAATAAATAAGTTTTCAATCTTAAACTTTCCATCTTCTCCTTTCCCTTTTCTAACAATTATTGTGCTTTTGAACATATATTTATACTGATATATGTAAAGTACAATTACAAGAACATCACCTTTTACACTGTTTTCCAGTAGTGAGTGGGAGGGGTGGAGATGCAGTTTCTGTGAAACTAACGTGGACAGGCTAACGCAAGATTTGGATTTCTACATTGATTCACGTGTCTGTGCTTCACCTGAAGTGGCCGAGGCTCACACGTATATTAAAAAAAAGTGATCACCAGTGATACTTTGACAGAAAGGTTTCAGCTGTGTCTTTAATATTTCATGTTGTGGCTCATGAGCCACATTGAGAATGGTTTTTCTATGTGTGAATTATAATATCCTTCAACTGGGAAATTGTTACACAACTTTGTTGTAATTTCATGAGAAAATATGACCAAATTTGGCTTTTCTTTATGATGTAGCGTTCTGAACACCTAAACATGTTTGAAATTGTGTCGACAGCATCTTTAACCAGACGGTTGGTACATATGAGGAGCTGCAGAGCTACCTGAAGGAATATGTGGAACAGTTGTCCCGCAGCGATAAGGACAGAAATGCAATGTCAGTATTCTCTGAATATGTGAATTATTTATCATTGTCCCGCTGTGATGGCCAGGTTGGACAGAGCTTTGCTGGCTTTATATATTCATTTCTCAGACAGATCATGTACGTGGGTTTTCTGAATTTACAATCCAAATATAGCCACGGCTGTACCTCACAGTGGGCAGCACTCGAGCCCCTAGGCTGTGGGTTCAAGTCCCACTCCACAGGATTGCACACTAGCTGTAGGCTGGACACTGCAGTGCAGTAGTGAGGGAGTGAGTGTTGCACTCTCGGAGGTGCCATTGTTGAGTTGCGATGTAAAACTGAAGCTCAGTTTGCTCACAGGTGCAAGAGAAAGACCTCGGGTGTACTATTTGAAGACAAATTTGGGGGCTGTCCATAGGGTCCCAGCTTTAGTCCCTTAAAACCTCAAAATATTTCATTAAAGTCTCACACCTCTGTAAAAGCTTTCTTAAAACATGACCATGATTAGATTCTGATAGGGATTGACAGGTTCATTGCTGAGAAATTGTTAGTCTTGCTTGGGGAATCTAAAACACTGGGTCATAGTCTCAGGATAAGGGCACGATCATTTAGGACTGAGATCAAAGAGTGATGAACCTTTGAAAGGCTTGTGCTTGCTCTATCATTGAATATCTTTAAGGCTGCAATAGACAGATCTTCAGTCATGCAGGAATCCAGCAATCTGGGAAGTGGACAGGAAAGTGGAATTCAGGCAGAGATTAACCAGGATCATACAGAACAATGGAGCAGATTTGAGGGGCCGAATGGCCTACTCCTGCTCCTGGGTTCCTATTCCACTGTCATTCCCTGCTAGCACTCACAGCTGAAATACAACAATACAACTAGAGTATGTAGAATCATAGAATCCCTACAATGTTCAAGCAAGTCATTCAGCTCATCAAGTCCACACCCCTGTCTACCCTTTCCCTGTAACCCTGCATTTCCCATGGCCAATCCACCTAACCTGCACATCTTTGGACTGTGGGAGGAAACCCATGCAGACACGGGGAGAATGTGTAAACTCGCACTGACAGTTGCCTGAGGCTAGAATCAAACCCAGGTCCCCGATGCTGTGAGGCAGCAGTGCTAACCACTGAGTCACTATGCCTATCAAAGTGCAATTTTAACAAACTTGTAACTGCAAGTAAGATATTTCCAAAACAGATTTTCAATTAAAATAAAATTTTCCACTGATTTTGCTTTAGTTCCTGTCTTAGACAAGTTTCTTTCCCTGTTATAAGAAAATTTGTAAGGATTTCAGACTGAGAATTAAGTAATTTTTCTTATGTTAAATTATTTTCAACTATGAATACCGGTAAGGATAGTTAATGTTTAATATAACAGAAAATATTAATGAAGCATTTACACTTGTTCTGAAGAACCACTTGCAAACTGTAAGCAAGCAGAGGTTTGTTTATTCATTCATGCGATGTGTCGCATCATTGGCTGAGGCAATATTTAATGTCCATCCCTAATTGCCCTTCAGAGGGTGGTGGTGAGCTGCCTACTTGAACTGTTGTAGTTCATTTATTGTAAGTAGGGCAGAAGACATGCGGGGATAACAACTGTTAATAGTTTTTGCTGGTTGCTGATATTTGATATACTAATTGACATTGATTGCTCTTTGTTCCAAAGATTACACTGCCCATTGGTTGTCTAGTTCCCTTGCTTTTCTGTTGCTGAGTGTTAATCAAACTCTTTTCATTCCTACCCCCCACTTTCCTCCACCTCCCTCAGGCCACTCACGTTTGCCTCCGAGTGCAAGGAGACCTTGCAGCTCCGGGAAAAGGTTGCCAAGTTTTCCAACTCCTCCCCTTTCAAAAACTTTGACATCGTTGCCACTCTGGGCACGGGAGGCTTTGGGCGTGTGGAGCTGGTAAGTGAGATTGGGAGAAAGGTGATGTGGAATGATGGAGAATGGATGTTTGATGACCAGTATGAACACAATGGGCTGAAGGGCCTTTTCCCAAGCTGTAAAAAAATCTGAGATGTTAATGAATAAATAGAAACATGTTGCTAACACCATTACTCAGCCTGACAGGCAAGGTTTTAACAAAAATTTATAATGAAGGGAAAGCAATGCATGATAATACGGTGTCCTTATAAATGAGTCATACATCATCATCTCAGCTTTAAAATCCATGACATATTTTTCCACTAACATGCACCCTGTCTTAATATAAAGAGACATTTGCATTCAAATTTCTTAGACTTTTTTTTGGATTTTTGATAACTGTAAGGAAACTATTAATCACTTTTTGTTATTTCAGGCAATGTTTTCATACAGTTAATTGCTGAATTTGTTACTCAGTTTAGTCATTACATGAACGTTTAACAGTGTTCCTGTGTTAACCAATGTAGCTTCTCAGTAATTCATCCTCAGTGTGACATTTTGTTTGAACTCAGGTTTAGCTGCCAGTTGATTTCTAATGTAAGGTATAATTGGGTATAATTGTTGTGGAATGTTTACTAACGTACCATGTAGTTAATGAATAAAGAAAATCACAAGCCACTGCTTTGCCTCACTTACAAAATCAGCCATTAAATTGTGTTGCAATGTATTTGGGTAACTCCAGGTGAAACTGAAGAATGAAGACACCACTTTTGCCTTGAAATGCATTAAAAAGAAACACATTGTAGAGACTCGACAACAAGAGCACGTGTACTCAGAAAAGAACATCCTGCTTCAGACCAAGTCCCCATTCATTGTGAGGTAGGTAAAGCTTTATTCACAGTACATGGTCATTAGGGGAGATGGTGCTGTAGTTGGTAATATCACTGGATTAGTAATCCAGAACGCCAGGTTAAACTCCTGGGGGAGTAAATTTGAATCCTGCTATGGTAGATGGTGAGATTTGAGTTCTATTTTTGTCTTACATATTCTGGGGTTAAGAAACTATTTCAATGGTGACCATTAAGCCATTGTCAATTCTGTAAAAACCATCTGGTTCACTAATGTCCTTTAGATAAGGAAATCTGCCATCCTTACCTGGTCTGGGCTACATGCAAGTCCAGACCCACAGCAATGTGGTTGACTCTTAACTACACTCTGGATAATTAGGGATAGGAAGTAAATGCTGGCCTATGTAGGTGTGTATGCTGGCCTATGTAGATGTGTCTGTATGTAGGTTTGTGTCCATATGTAGACATGTGTCTATATGCAAGTGTCTGTTTATATGAAGGTGTGTGTCTGTACGTGTAGATGAGTATTGTCTATTATGTAACTATGTGTCTATACGTAGTTGTGAGCCTATATGAAGGTGTGTGTCTATGTGTCTATATGTAATCGTGTGGCTATATGTAGATGTGTGTCTACTTGTAAGTATGTGTCTATATGGTGTGTGTCCATATGTCAGCACGTGTCTATGTGCGGGTTTGGTTAAATCTGTATCAGTTTGGAAATAGTCTTCCAGATGTAGACACGTTTCACTAGTGACTGAGACCAAGTCATATCCAGATGTCTGCTACAATGTAGCTCGATTGGTATTCAATCACGGCATTAGACTGAGGGGCGGGAATCATTTACACAGCATTTGCAAATATCCTAATTCTCCATTTGGTCAGGTCAGGCTGTGTTTGTGGAGAAACAGAGAAACAGAGTTAATGTTTCAGGTCAATTACTTTGTGTCAGAACTGAGAAAGTTCTGACTGTGACAGGTTTTATGTAAGTTCACAGGCAGAGAAAGCAGGAGTAGGGAAATTGAATCAAAAAGGGAAGATCTATGATAAGGTGAGTGGGAGGAGGGATTAAATATGAAACAAAATGTTGTTTAAGGAATAAAGAGATAGGAAAGAAGCAAGAGATGTGTGTATGATTATGGCTGGTTAGAAGCTCAGGATTAGGCTTACAGAATGAACAGAGGTTTTCATCGAATCCCTACAATGTGGAAAGAGGCCATTTGGCTCACCAGATCTGCATCAACCCACCACCCTCTCCCTATAATCTTGCATTTACCATGGCTAATCCAGCTAACCTGCACATCTTTGGACTGTGGGAGGAAACCAGAAACCCACACAGACACAGAGAGAATGTACAAACTTCACACAGAGAGTCACCTGAGGCTGGAATTGAACCCAGGTCCCTGGTGCTGATAGGCAGCAGTGCTAACCACTGAGCCACCAATTCTTCACAAAATGTTCATCCCATTAAAGGGCCAATTCAGAATATTTGATTTGCTGTGTTTGACTGGGGAACTACATTTGTGGATTTGTCAGACAAATTACTCTTGACAGTAAGTTCACTGTTTCATGACATTTCAGAATTGTCCACTTCAGTGCAAGACTTTTAAAAACTAGTTGGTTTTCCCCTGTCCTCCTCTTCCAACTCACTCTTTAGTTTTGGTAAACACCCTGAAATTAACTCATTCCCTCTCCTCCCTGATTAATGTGCTTTGGTTTTTTAGTGATTAAAATGATGACAGTCACCTTCTGACTAGGATCCTGCTTCAACCTCCAGCTGAGTTGTGCCATTAAGATGATTGTTGTTTAAATAGTAAAAATTGGAGCATGTCATTTTCAGATGTCATCAAAAATCAAGAATTTCTGATAGAAATGAATGGTCTGTCCAGGTGGCCCAGGAAAAATGAATTGATTTTTATTGGATTGCGTGGCAGATGACAAAACCATCTGTTGCAGCTACCTTGAGAGGAGTAGATAGCATTCTTTAATCATAGAATATTTCAGAATAATTTAAATCTAAAAGAGTTTGCTACAAAGTGCGTTGTTAGTACCGATTATTATGGAAAGAGAGAGGCATCATTCATATTGATGTATTTTGAGCTGCACCCTATCAATCCATAATGGATGTTCTAGTTTTTTGGCAATGTTTCAGTCAGAAAAAAAGAACTTGTTTTTGTGCAGAACCTTTCAGTGTGAACAATTCATAGGGACTGTGCCTAGGACTTGGAAGAAAATTTACATTGGTGATGTTTTCACGTGTTCGCCTCAGTCATAGAGTTCTATAGGTTTGGAATGTCATCTGATTTCCATCAATAATGTGGAGGTGCCAGTGCTGGACTGGGATGGACAAAGTCAGAACATAGAACATAGAACATTACAGCGCAGTACAGGCCCTTCGGCCCTCGATGTTGCGCCGACCTGTGAAACCAATCTGAAGCCCATCTAACCTAAACTATTCCATTATCATCCATATGTTTATCCAATGACCATTTAAATGCCCTTAAAGTTGGCGAGTCTACTATTTTTGCAGGCAGGGCATTCCACGCCCTTACTACTCTCTGAGTAAAGAACCTACCTCTGACATCTGTCCTATATCTATCACCCCTCAATTTAAAGCTATGTCCCCTCGTGCTAGCCATCACCATCCGAGGAAAAAGGCTCCCACTGTCCACCTTATCTAATCCTCTGATCGTCTTGTATGTCTCTATCAAGTCACCTCTTAACCTTCTTCTCTCTAACGAAAACAACCTCAAGACCCTCAGCCTTTCCTCATAAGACCTTCCCTCCATACCAGGCAACATCCTGGTAAATCTCCTCTGCACCCTTTCCAATGCTTCCACATCCTTCCTATAATGCGGTGACCAGAACTGTACGCAATACTCCAGTCACATGATGCCAGATTATAGAACAACAGATTTATTTGAAATCACAAGCTTTTAGAGCGCTGCAAAAGTTTGTGATTTCAAATAAACCTGTTGGACTATAACCTGGTGTCGAACAAATTTCTATCGACTCAAAGATTCTTGAGAGACTTACACTCTCTTTGAACCACTTGCTCCTTCCTTACAGCTGAGTGTATTCCTTTACCAAATATATTACTGGATTCAAACTTCTGAATCCAATGACATTCGAGAAGCAACAATTTTCAGACTGAATGGGCCCGGTTATTCCTAACCATTGACCTGACACCTGTTATACTGGATAATGGGGAATAAGAGGTGACCTCACTGAAACTTACAAAATGTTTACAGGGTGTGACAGGATGGATGTGGATGAGCTGTTTTCCCTGGCTCGTTAAACTATAACTACATGTCATAATCTCAGGCTAAGAAGGAGGCCATTTAAGATTGAGATGAGGAAGGAAGGCCATTTAAGATTGAGATGAGGAGGGAAGGCCATTTAAGATTGAGATAAGCGGGAAGGCCATTTAAGATTGAGATGAGGAGGGAAGGCCATTTAAGATTGAGATGAGGAGGAATTTCCGAACTAAAATCTTGGTGAATCTCTGGAGAGTTGTGGAAACTTAATCATTGAGTGTGTTCAAGACAGAAATTGATAGGTTTTGGGAGACTAATGACATCAACAGATACAGAGCTGATGCTGGAAAATGGCATTGAGGAGATGATTGAATTCAATCAGGCTAATGGACTAAATGTTTCAGAGATAGTAGGAACTGCAGATGCTGGAGAATCTGAGATAACAAGGTGTGGAGCTGGATGAACACAGCAGGCCAAGCAGCATCAGAGGAGCAGGAAGGCTGACGTTTCGGGCCTAGACCCTTCTTCAGAAATGGGGGAGGGGAAGGGGGTTCTGAAATAAATAGGGAGAGAGGGGGAGGCAGATAGAAGATGGATAGAGGAGAAGATAGGTGGAGAGGAGACAGACAGGTCAAAGAGGCGGGGATGGAGCCAGTAAAGGTGAGTGTAGGTGGCGAGGTAGGGAGGAGATAGGTCAGTCCAGGGAGGATGGACAGGTCAAGGGGGCGGGATGAGGTTAGTAGGTAGGAGATGGGGCTGGGGCTTGAGGTGGGAGGAGGGGATAGGTGGGAGGAAGGACAGGTTAGGGAGGCGGGGACGAGCTGGGCTGGTTTTGGGATGCGGTAGGGGGAGGGGAGATTTTGAAGCTTGTGAAGTCCACATACAGACAAAGGGGTGGCCATGGGTACCCACATGGGCCCAAGCTACGCCTGCCTCTTTGTAGGTTACATGGAACAATCCCTCTTCTGTACCTACACTGGCCCTAAACCCCACCTCATCCTCCGTTACATTGATGACTGTATCGGCGCCGCCTCGTGCTCCCACAAGGAGCTCAAACAGTTCATCCACTTCACCAACACCTTCCACCCCAACCTTAAGTTCACCTGGACCATCTCTAATACCTCTATCTCCTTCCTGGACCTCTCTGTCTCCATCTCCGGCAACCACCTAGAAACCGATATCCATTTCAAGCCCACCAACTCCCACAGCTACCTAGAATACACCTCCTCTCACCCACCTTTCTGCAAAAATGCCATCCCCTATTCCCAATTCCTTTGCCTCCACCGCATCTGCTCCCAGGATGAGGCATTCCACTCCCGTACATCTCAGATGTCCTCGTTTTTCAAGGACCGCAACTTCCCCCCAACAGTGGTTAAGAACGCCCTCGACCGTGTCTCCCGCATTTCCCGCAACTCATCCCTCACACCCACTCCCTGCAATAACAACCAAAACAGAATCCCCCTCATCCTCACGTACTACCCCACCAACCTCCGGATCAAACACATCATCCTCCGACACTTCTGCCATCTGCAATCCGACCCCACCACCAAAGACATTTTTCCCTCCCCACCCTTATCTTCTTTCCGGAGGGACCACTCTCTCCGTAACTCCCTTGTCCGCTCCACACTCCCCTCCAGCCCCACCTCACCCGGCACTTTTCCCTGCAACCGCAGGAAGTGCTACACCTGCCCCTACACCTCCCCCCTCACCCGCATCCCAGGCCCCAAGAAGACTTTCCACATCAAGCAGATTTTCACCTGCACATCTGCTAATGTGGTATACTGCATCCGCTGTTCCCGTTGTGGCCTCCTCTACATCAGGGAAACCAAGCGGAGGCTTGGGGATTGCTTTGCAGAACACCTACACTCGATTCGCACTAAACAACTGCACCTCCCAGTCGCAAACCATTTCAGCTCTCCTTCCCATTCCGCAGACGGACATGTCCGTCCTGGGCCTCCTGCAGTGCCACAACTATGCTACCCAAAGGTTGCAGGAACAGCAACTCATATTCTGCTTGGGAACCCTGCAGCCCAATGGTATCAATGTGGACTTCACAAGCTTCAAAATCTCCCCTCCCCCTACCGCATCCCAAAACCAGCCCAGCTCGTCCCCGCCTCCCTAACCTGTTCTTCCTCCCACCTATCCCCTCCTCCCACCTCAAGCCCCACCCCCATCTCCTATCCACTAACCTCATCCCGCCCCCTTGACCTGTCTGTCCTCCCTGGACTGACCTATCTCCTCCCTACCTCCCCACCTACACTCACCTTCACTGGCTCCATCCCCGCCTCTTTGACCTGTCTGTCTCCTCTCCACCTATCTTCTCCTCTATCCATCTTCTATCCGCCTCCCACTCTCTCCCTATTTATCTCAGAACCCACTTCCCCTCCCCCATTTCTGAAGAAGGGTCTAGGCCCAAAACGTCAGCTTTCCTGCTCCTCTGATGCTGCTTGGCCTGCTGTGTTCATCCAGCTCTACACCTTGTTATCTCTATAATGGACTAAATGGTCTACTCTGTTCCTATGTTCTTAAGTAATGGTTGATGAGCAGTGAACTCAAGCATTTATCTGAAAGCGGTAGGTCTAATTAATATTGACACAGTGGTCACAGAGAGCAGTTGTGCTGAATATTGACACTGTCTGATAAAGGTGTTATATAGACATCCTGATCAGTGGCAGCTCCATTTATGTCTTTTGTGTTTTCCTGCATTTTCACCTTGTTGCTGAAATAGGAACAAGTTCATGATTGTTTTAGTTCTGTTGAATTGGACCAGTCTGGTGGAGTTGGGCATTTGTTTTGGCTGAGGGTGTAACTAATTCTCCTTTCCGTGCAGACAACATCAACAATGTGCATTTGTGTAGCTGGGCAGCTGGTGCCAACAGCATGGATTTAGTTCCTTCACCGGCTGATGTTACCATGAAGGACTCTCCTTCCCAATGTCCTCCCTCACCTGAGGCCTGGTGACCTTCAGGTTAGACCAACACAACGTCATATCTCTCTAATGAGAGCACGGTCCTATGGTCTGGTAAGAAAAGTTGCCACAGTCTTACCAAGCCTTAGGGCTGCTCTCTCATTACAGAGAGGTGGCTGGTGGTGGTTTAACATGGATGTCACCATGACTCAGGTGAGCAGAGAGATTGAGAAGGAAAGTCCTTCATGATAACCTGAGCTGGTGTGGCTCTGGCATCTTTACCTTGCGTGAAAACCTTTAAAATGGAGTGTTTCACAGGAGTGTAATCAGAGATAAACTGACACTAAACCGTTGAAGTAAAAATTAGGAGGCGTGACAGGATGGGCTTTTGACAGGATTTTAAATCTGAAGAGATGAGAATTAAGTCAAGAGGCAGCATAAGAACAGGGGACACAATGATTCAGTCCCTGAGACCTGGGTCTCACCAAGAGGTGCCAAAACTCCAGGAAATAGCCAATATCCAAGGAGAAGGCAGACTGAGGGAGAGCAGGGGAAGGCACTAGACAAACCCTCCCTTCTCTGACTGTCAGAATGTCAGTTTGTCAGTCTGTCAGCACCAAAGGACAGAGGTACAGAGTTCATGTTTCTTCTTCTCCAAAGAAGTGTCACTCAAAAGTAGAGCTGCTGAGTTTCTCCATCATTTTCTGTGTTTCTTTTACATTCCCAGCAGCTGCAGTAAATTGCTTTTACAAAGGAACAATGAACAGGAGTAGGCCACTCGGCCCTTCAAGCTTGATCATGGCTGCTCTGACCTTAACCTCAGTTCTGCATATCCCCCAACAATCTTTCATTTGCTCGATCATCAAGAATGTATCCACCACTTCTTTCAAAAGGTTTAAAGTCTCTGTGTCTACTGCCTTTTGAAGAAACAATTTGAAAGAATCACAACCTTCTGAAAGCGAAAAAAAGTTTCCTCATCACTGTCTTAAATGAGTGACGCCTTATTTTTAGTACTACCTAGATTGTCCCACAAGGTGAAGTATCCTTTCAACATTCCCCCAGTCAAGTCACTTCAGGATCTATTTATCCAACATCATTTTGTATCTTTATTCCTTCATGGGACATAGGTATCGTCAGCAAGGCCAGTATTTGTTGCTCATCCCTAATTGCACTGATTTTGTTTACTCAGGCCTTTTCAGTTAAGGGTCAACATGGTTGCTGAGGGTCTGGAGGCCAGACCTGGTAAGGAATGCAGGATTCCCTTCCTAAAGGACAGTACGGGTCAAAGAGGTCTCACAACAATCGAGGACCATTTCATGGTCACCATCACTGAGACCAGCTGTACATTAATAAAAGCAAAAGTACCAGAGATCTAAAAAAACACAAAGAATGCTGAAGAAACTCAGCAGGTTTGGCAGCCTCTGTGGAGAGAGAAAGACAGTTAACATTTCGAGCCCCATATTCAAAATCCTAGCATTATATTCTGGTCATATCAATTGAATGTAAATTCCACCAGCTACTTTGGTCAAATTTAACCCTATGTACCCAGAGCATTAGCCTGGGTCTCAGGATAGCTAGTTCAGGGCTATGTTACCTTCACTGTCACTGGGTCAAAATCCTGGAATTTCCTCTCTAAGGGCATTGTGGGTTTACCAACAGCACATGAACTGCAACGGTTTGAGGAGGTAGCTTACCCCCACCTTCTCAAGGACAACTAGAGACAGGCAGTAAATGCTGGCCTAGATCCAACAAGAGAATATCAAGAAAAACCATGACTCCACTGTCTCCCCTTCATCTCTGACACAAATCAATAGAGGATGAAACTAGTTGCTGTAATTCACAGAGGAAAGAGTGGGCTTTGATGTAAGGCATTTGCAAAATGTGTGTATGGAGATTGTCTGACCCACAGTCTGCTGTCTCTTGTAGATTGTACCGAACTTTCCGAGACTCCAAGTATGTGTACATGCTCCTGGAGGTGTGTCTGGGGGGCGAGCTGTGGAGCATCCTCCGTGACATGTGAGTGTGGGTCATTTCCATGTTCGCATTTTTATTGAGTGTGCAATGCCTTGTATATCAGCACAAACAACGTGGATTTGAGAAATTCTAAGATGATGGAGGAGAAACCAAGGCCAGACAGCAGCTGGAACATCCAGGGGCTGAAATTCAAGCTTCATTTGTTCATGGCACTGATCTAAGTCCATTCGGATTCATCACATCACGTTCTGGGCACTTCACCTCCAGAAGGATACATTTGCCTTGGAGTGTTGTAAGATTCACTGGAATGATAGTGAGATTTAAAGGATTACATTAGGAGGACAGCCCAGATAAACCTGGATTAAAACCCTTCTAGAATTTAGCAGGTTCGGGGCTGCTCAGATGTTTAAAATGATTTGACAGGATTGGATGAAGAGAGATTGATCACCATGGGAAGAGGAGATCAGAACGAGGGGTCGTAGCCTTAAAATGAGGGCCATGCTCTTCAAGAGGGAAGTGAGGAAGTTCCTTTCACACCAACAGTGCTGAAATTCTGAGCTTCCCTTCCTGCACAGAGTCTGCAGATGCTGCAGAGGATAGTTGCAACGTCCAAAACTCAATAGATTTCCATTGGGCTGAAGTTATCAGTATCTGGTCAGCTGATGTTTAAATGACCCCTCCCCCACTGTACGGGAACAGCAGAGTAAAGCCAGGTGCATCATCCCCTCCAGGGGCACTTTGCTGTTAGACAGAATTTGAAGGCAGTTGGGACTATATGAGTGTTAATGGATTTAACAGTTCCAAGTCTGTCAAGGCCAAGACACCAAGATGCTCCAACACACTCACATGGAGCAAAGCCTCAAACAGTCAGTTTGAGAAATCTAAGATTTGCCAAGCTGACACTGAGCACCACCTGAACACAAAACTGTAGAGCTAGAGAAGGAGAGGCAGCCAATGATTGGCCTTCAGTCCCTCAGTAACCATCATGAAATGCTGTGGTGTTTGTCAGGGAGCAGACCGTGTTCTATTACCAGGTTGGTTGGAGCAGTAGAGCCAGATAAACACACCAAAGGCACTGTAATTGTAAGTGAGTGGGTGGAATTGTGTTGTACTGTGTAGTCGTCAGGAAGTATTTAATCACAAAACTGTCACAGTACAGAAAGAAGCCATTTGGCCCATCATGTCTATGCCGGTTCTCCAAATAGGCATCTCACCTAGTGCCATTTCACCTGCCTTCTCCCCATAACTCTGCACAGCGACCTGTTTCAAATTAAGGTTAGACATGAAGGTATTGACAAGGAATGAAGCCTATCATTTACATTAAGTTGAAGATTCCTTTGCCTGTCCATTCCTTCATCCTAGGAGGCCTCCTTACCCAAAAGATACTTCTGTTTTCCCCAGAGAGGGTCCATTGGAGTACTGTAACAGCCATTCCTCACTGTCACCAGCTCCTGCTGGAGGTCCCAGCACAATGGATTGAGCTCCCCTGCTCTACATCTCCCTCATCATCGCCACCTGTTGCTGGTGTCCTGGCACAACAGCTCACGTTCCCCTGCTCAGTGTCTTCCCTCACCATTGCCACCTGCTGCTGGTGTCCATGAGATTTTTTGCTGCAGACCAGTATTAAGGGTCCAAAGAGGAGTCAGTGCAAGGAGCCAATAGCCTGACCTTGTCTTGCCGACTCAGTAGCTCTACAGTGGCTGTCGCCCCATTATAAGAGAGCAGAACACCATCTAATAAACAGCTACATTCACAAAACAGAACAATCCGGAACTCCTCACAGTCTGCATTGGGAGTGGAGCATTTGGGGATATCCAATGGGGTGGTCACATGGATGGATTGTAAGGAGGTGGTTAAAGACCTAACAATACTGGATGGGTTTGGCTGGAGAACTACAGATTCCTGAGTGAAGGTACTCAAGGAGGGAAGGAGGGAAGGAGGGAAGGAGGGAAGGAGGGAAGGAGG